GCTACAACCAGCACTGCCCCTATGATCAGTGCCACCACGAGCACTGCCACCGAAATCAGTGCTACGACGAGCAGTGTCACCACGATCAGCGCCACAGAAAACAGTGTGACTTTGATCACATCTACCGTTGCTGCTAGCACTGGTGATACAAGTCCACCAGCGTCCAGCAACTCTTCTGAAAGCCTCTCGTGTAGCATATCGCCATCGAACGGAACAGTCCTCGATGCTTTCAATATAACCTGTGAGACTGAAATCCCCTGTTCCAATTGTCACTATTGTTTTAAAGCTGACGGTAAGTTCTCAATTATGGCTTTATCTTTTAACTTTAACTGTTGTAACTAATCAGATCAACATTTTCACACTTCACCTTTTTAGGATTCTCTTAATCAAACTCATTGTCTTATTTGAAAAATATCAGGTAAGCATCTGCGTTGCAGCAATTACAAGGACGTGGCATTGGTCTTCCTTCCTCTTGGAGACAGCAGTTCCAACTATAATCTGAATATCACAGCAATTGCGAAAAATGACAGCTTTGTCGTTAGCACTACTATAACAGCACAGGTTGGTCAGAATCATGAACAATATAAATAAATAGAGAAAGCAAAGCAAGAAGACAGAGAGTGATGCTCTTATTCTCCTCGACACTACTGAGAGAAAATGGCTTTTTCACTTCAGGTAATGGATTTAGCAGGAGACTCTGGCGCTTCGGTAGATGATCTTAAGTCAACACTGGAGAATGCTGTGGCACAGCTGAAGGAGCAAGGTCTACTGTCAGGAGAGACCTTAGGACAAATCATCAGTTCTGTGTCCGACAAACTGAGCAGTCAATCTGATGAATCAGAGAAAGCTGCCAGGAAAGAGGTAAATCGTGACAGTTTAATGACTGTCAGTACTGATACTGTACTGAAGGATTGCAGTGATGCCTAAAGTTAAAACCACATTCAAAGCATTTGTCTCCTAAACAAACTGCTCTGTTGTTTGCTGTATCGACCAACTATTGATGATTTAAACATTATCAACAATATAATCCACATAAGAGTAATCAAGTGAGCCCGAGTTCTGCAGAAACATCAATACAGCTGTTTTATGACAGGTGATCTGCCCACATTCACTTCATTAAACACTTGTATTTATCTCACAACAAAAGCAATGAACAGATGTCATACAGGCAGTTTTAAATGGTTAGTCTGCCTCAGATTGGTCAGGATCCAACAGTAGATTTTGTTCTGTGTTTTTTCTAATCATCAAACTGGAAAAAAATGAGTTTTACAGATTCCCACAGACAAAGAATGTGTCTATAGTAACATCTAGAGTGTCCTCTGAGCTCCACCTGGTCTCCATCTATCCATCATCTGTACGACTTAGCCTCATAGGGTTGCATGGGGGCTGGAGGCAATCCCAGTTGACTTTAGCGAGAGACGGGGTAGACCGCGCAACAATCACCAGTCAATCACAGATTCAAGAGACAACAATACACTCTGACCTTTGTACTGTGGGAAGAAGCTGGAGTATCCATTTAAAACCCATTTTAACAAACTCCATACAGAATGACCCTGGATTTGGATAAAGAACTGTGTTGTTGTGAGGCAACAGTGCTTAACACTGCATGCCAGTCTTCAATCAGATCTGTCTGGACATTATTCTTATAAAAGCAAACATTCAAACAATCATATATAATATTAAAATGATTTGCACAGTGAGTTTTCCATGGCCTCCTGCAATCACATTTATAAACATTGCGATGTTTCTCATAGATGCAGATGCAGTGTATAATCAGTAACAACAAAAAAGAATCCCTATCTATTTGTTGCCATCAATCAAAACACCTCTGGAGCAGAATCCTGCAGAGTCCGTTATTCAAACCTGTACCTGAAACAGATCAACAAAGCACAACCCAACTGGATCTATTACCTGCAGTCAGTCTTGGATATAACTCAACTTATTAATATACTGTAAGTCCTGACATATTACTGTTAGTTTTGACCTGCAGATTTCATTGCAGTGAAATCAGTTAAATCAGTTGCAGTTAAAACTGGTTCCAACCAATCATCTGCAACAAGAAATAGGAAACATCAGACAGGAAGCAGACATATTATTGTAAATACTTAATTAGTAGCAATAAACCATACAGCAGTCATGACAGTCACTTGTCTCAGTTGTGAGTTCACTTCTTCCACCTTTGTTGGTTTACGCAACATTTCCAGTCCGTAATTTTTTTTGCAGTACAGTATTTTCATATTACAGTATTAAAACTCTTGGGATCTAAATTTGTCATTGCCAATACACAATAATACACTCATCCCATGGTACCCTGGTATAATGTCATTTTTTCTCTATATGCCCTTCCTTCCAGCTCTCTGTTTGCAGAGGTTTTCCCTCAGGCAGTGATTCCCCCTCTTATACTTGTGTTGCCTGAAATAAATCACATGCTTTTGTGAATGCTTTTTTTTCCGTTGAAGCTTCGGAATCAGATGCTGCACATATTGATTGACGCGGTTAAGGGGGTTCCCATCAACACTCCAGAAGAGGTTCAAGTGGTTGCCAGAGGTCTGACTGCTGTCAGCGCCAAAGAAGTCAGCTCCACTGCTCAGGTACTTCTAACCCCACACTCATGGACTTCATAGAATGGAGGAATACAGGGTTTGATTAAAACTGCTAAAACTGCAACCCTTCCAACAACAACTCTCCAAAATATGTATCTCTGATTGTGGGACTTGATTTCCAACTCCAGGAGGAAGCCTCTTTATTACTTGTGAACCTCAGCTCGTCTCTCCTCCACTTGGATGTGAACAAAAGTGAATCAAGCAAGAAAGAAATGCACAGTGCAGCCAGCACCATTGTGGAAGGAGCAAGCAATATCCTGGACCACTCTTCCAATGTGAGTCATTTAACCTCAAAGCCCTTGCTGATGGGATTAGAAACGGTTGGATAATTTGAAAAAGTTTTGGTGTGGTGGTGTTGTTTTGCTCATCCTGGGAATATTTACAGCCCTGAATACTTCAGTGCACTTATTCATTCCCCAATTACAAAATATTGTCTATCAATACGTCTTTTGGGGCTAAGGTCAGTACCCTTTTACTAACTTCCGTGCACAGAGAAGCGTGACCTTGACCTATCAAAGACCACTTTGTCCCGGTGTCATGAGGAATGATGAATAAAGAGCAATTCTTCAGCCATCTGTCCTTGTATACCTTCTTCTAAAAGGAGAATACTTCACTTGAATGCAATTTATTTTTTATTTTCTCTTTTTCTTGCAGAAAAACATCTCTGATGCTCTTCTTGTTGTTCTAAAAAATATCCAGAGTGCACTGTTGATATTCAAAGATAATAACGAGGGGCCGACAGTTATCCAGAAAACTAACATTGGTGTTTTTGTCAATAGGTAAGTTCAACCTAAAGGCATGAAGTAGACAGCTGAACTAATAGGTCAACATTTATTTGGGAAATACATTCGATTGTTATAGACAAAGAGTGATGGTAAATTTAGCAAAACCAGTTACCTTAGCTTAGCATACAGACAGGAAAGAGCGCTATCTAAATGTAAAAAATCCCATCTACCAGCACCTTTAAAGTTAACTACTTACATGATGTATTGACAAATGAGAAAGATGTTGTTTTTAAAAATAACCTGCAACTTAGTGCACTTTAGAAGTCATGGTAGGAAGGTTTGTTCTTTACTTAGAAAGCCTATCTCCCAGTGACCCACTCAACAATAATCTAGTTAAAATCTTATTCTTAACTCACTGAAAGAATATCAAAATATTTTCCCCAAATCAACTAGTCAAGTCACATTTATTTTAATAGCATATTTAAAGTGCATAAAGTGTACAATATAAGTTTACATTTATAATAATGAAATCCAAGTCAACAAAAGAAAAATCTAACTGAACATATTAAAGTGCAATAACTAACATCAAACAATATAATAAGGATGAATAAAATATATTAATGATGGACATTAACAGAATCAAAAGCAAGATCAAACGTTGACACAATTAGAAGGTTTCTGGTTTGACTCAGTCTGTCTGTCTGAAGTTGCTTTCAGACATGCACTCTGGAGATCCTCCACAGTTTCTCCACTGGGGCTGTATGTGTGAACACAAATGTCTCTTCAGTATAAAGGCAGTACATTTTGGAGGAGCTGATGTGAGAAAAGGTTCGTCTGTAGCATTCACCAGGAGCGAGTTGGGGGTTGATGACGCTTCCTACACAAAAGACAACACATTTGTTGTTGTGAACACATCTAAGCACAGAATCTCCTGCTGTGTTGTTCATGTGTGAAAGGAAACCTCTGGAGATCCTCAGGAGGTCATGTCTGAAACTGCCCTTGGGCAAGACATTAAAACCTAAATTGTCTTGTTGCATTAATCAGAGGTATAAACGATAATGAAGCAGAAATGTGTGTATCAATGGGTGAATGTTATTCATAAACCATTTTCAGGGGTTGTTAAGACTAGAGAAACTCTATTTCCATTCCCAAAGAAAAACAGAAATGAACACAAGGCACAAGTTCAAATTGTATTTATTTCTTCTTACAGAGTGACTCCAGGAAGATTTCACATGGAGCCTTTAACATTTCCCAACTGTTCCTGCCCCTCATTTTCTCTCCCAATCCTACATTTCAACATATTTCCTTCAGATGAGCCAGTGGATATACGAGTAAGTTGGCACGTTTTGCCGTGTTAGATCTACAATTCTCCCTTAGTGTCTCAGCAGTGTCTGACTAACGTATGGGTTCTGTGTCCATTATGCTCTTTAACTACATTTACAGATGCTGAGTTTGGATAAAAATCCATTTTCCTGGAACAAGGGAGGAAACATCAGCGGCCAAATTGCTTCTCTATCCCTCACAGCAAAAAATGGCTCTCTTATCCGTGTAGAGAATTTAAGTGAGGACATTGAGGTAAGTGCAGCAGAGGACTTTTTTATAGACCATTGCACTAAAAGGAGCATTCTGAAAACCAAGACTGATATTGTATCGTAGACATGCACTACTCTAACGATATTTTAAATTATACATATTTTTTATACATTTAATAAATTTTCCCCTTAGGCAAGAGGTCATAATAAAACAGCTAATACAATTTTCTAATTTATACAGATTATAGATTAACAGTGACAGAGACTGTAATGCAGTTCACAGTCCCTACCTTGCAATGTTCAAGTTAAAAAAAAATCCTGGATCTGCTCCCATCAAAATTTTCTGGATTTTCCATTGATTTATCTCCCACCCCTGCAACATTTCATAGAAATCTGTTGAGGAATTATAAATAATAATAATCCTGCTAACTACCAAACAAAGGCAGAAAAAAAACACAACTTAATTGGCAGAGATAATTAGACTAATGAAACAAAAAGTAAGGCCAAGTATAATTTGTTCAGACTGGAAATGTTTATTAGTACGTACTGTAATGAAGTTGGTGCCTTACACAAACTTCAGTCCTTTTTGAGACAATAGGCTACAAATGAATTATCAAACCCATACATCAATTGAAGGACCATTTACACCTGTAAATTGGGGAGTTAATTTAAAAAAAGTTAAAATGAAGTTAAGATTAAGAATTTTTTTACGAATCATTAAGTTCAAGTAGTTCAAGGTAGGAGACACTGATTAATTTACTTACTGCCTGTTAAAAGGTTGCATTTGATTAGAAATTGCTAATCATTTTGTTTGTTTTGCCTCTGTGGAGAAAATCTGAATCAGTGTCTGGATGTTTTTTCTGGCATTTTTGCCTGACACACAGATTCTGCTGCCAAGGCCTGTTGGAGGGCAGGTGAATACCTCAGTTCTGGACCTGGGAAACTACAGCACTACAATCATTGACATCCCTTCAGCTGACAGTACGCTGGTGATAAAGGTTCAGCAACATGTTTTATCTCCCCTTCTGAGACATATATACTTTTAACAACTATTTTCATATCAGCTTTGGTCAACTGTGACACTATGGACAACTTTATTCCAATGTCTTCATGTGTGTGATTGTGTGATTGTGCATTTGTATGACAATAGTAATGCAATTGGGTAAACCGTAGCATCAAGTTATAGCACATAGCCATACCTATTAGTAATGTTTATTACTAACAGGTATATTAATGCAACTATTAATGTTTCCAAGACCAAAGATTTTAAAATGAATATTTCCATATGAAATATTTGATAATTGTATTATCAAATATTATTATATTGATACATATTTTTAATCCATACATGTTACACTATGTTTATTTGTTTTTCTGTCTACACCAACCTGTCCGTTCATGGGAATTTTGCTGGAACCATGTTGATGTACCATTTAAAAGATGGTGCCTTCAAATGATCCTTTACCCTTCAAGCTGCTCCTTGGCTATATGAGCTACCCCACTGAAGCTAATTATGTTGCAATGACAGAGATGCCTCAACAGGGAAGGACACAAGGTAACACATTGTTCTGCTCAGTGCTGGAGATCTCTCCATCTCTTAATGCCTTGATGCATGACTTAAGTGCTTCTGTGTTTGATACAGAGGAGAGGTACACTTGGCTTGTAGACTCAAAGAATCTCAAGATGAAAACTGGAGTGCACTTTCTTGTAGTGAAGCCTATTGTAGGACCAGGGATAAAATCCATCAATGCCACTTTGTCAATCATCTCCATCTCTGCTGCGTGTAAATTTTGGAATGAATCAATGCTGCAGTGGAGCAGTAAAGGATGCAGGGTAAGTCAAATAATTCACTCTGTCATGTTTGCTATGTTGAGTAAAGTTTAAAGACAGTAAAGGCTGCTGTGTTTCAAGGTCGGTGCACAGACCACACATTTAGTCACCCAGTGCTTCTGCAACCACCTAACCTTCTTTGGGAGCTCCTTCTTCGTCACCCCCAACCTCGTCGACCCTTCACGCTCCGCTGAGCTGTTCGGGACCTTCGCTGAGAACCCCGTGGTCGTGTGCTTTGTGGGTGCGCTCTTTGTGACTTATCTCTTGGTGGTTGTGTGGGCACGACGAAAAGACATCCAAGATATGGCCAAGGTAGATAACAGTTTGTAGTACAAGAAGCAAGGACAATCTCTTAATATATTTCTTTATGTTAATGCCTTCTAACCACGGTATCTTTATGTCATACTCAATACTCTTCGTTGGCATCTTGGCAGGTGAAGGTGTCAGTGCTAGAGGACAATGACCCCATGGACGAGTATCGCTACCTGTTATGTGTCAGCACTGGGCATCGGAGAGGAGCCTCTACTTCCTCTCAGGTAAATGTGTTTTCAGCTCAAGATTTTCATAGCCAACACATTTATATGTCTTGAACAACTCTTTATGGCAGCAAAGACTCTGCTTACACGCAAACCTCCCTTAACAAGACATGACATAACATGCTACTGATTAAAAATATGATGCACTCATTCTGAATTATTCACACAAAAAAAAGGTCTAATGTGCAAAGGGCTTAACACTGAAACTCAAAAATGTAACATAAGCAAACTAACAGGCTGCACTATTATGTATTCATTTATTTGTATTGTTTTATTATAGTGAAATAAACTGGTTTTCCATTCAATTATAATTTTTAATTAATTTCAGAGAGATTAAACAAATGGTGCCGGGAAATCTCATGCGGATGCCATCTAACTACTGCAGGAAAAAAGGGTGTGACATTATGATGTCAATAAAAGAACTCCTGTCAGACTTCAAACTGTGAAAAACAATAAAGGAAACGTTGCATGTATTGATTTGAGGAAGGTTTCCTCATCGCTCCTAAACAAATGATGTCTGCTGCTATTTCATTCTCCCCCATGGAGCAAAAGCTTCTACATTCAATCATGATTTCATCACCAAGTCTGTTTACTGCATTAAACACTTTGTTGTGTTGCATTTTTCCACCTGAACAAGTAATACATGTATATTATCAAAATCTTAAAAGAAATCTACTCTAAGGGAGTTGGTGGAGACTAAAACAGCTAAAAAGACAGTGAATATTGCTCAGAGGTAAAAAAACAAGACTAATTTTAATGATGGTCACTTGTTGAACAAAACAACTTGTTCGATAATATGCCAGTTGCTACAGCCTTAATTGACATGCACAATCCAGCTTTCTGTGAATTTATTGGGAGCCACTTATTACAGCAACTTCTTATTTTTCATTCAAACATCTGGTATCTGTTTTGACACCATGTTCTGTGGAAGTGTGTTTTCTTACATGATTTTGGCCCTTTAAATACTAATTGGGGGGCCTATATTAATAATGTGAATCTGCATTCCACATACACACTCGTTGCTGATATGATTTAGATAGATAAATAGATGTAGTTTATTGATTCCAAATTGGAAAATGATTGTGTTATAGCATCATGTCAAGGGCATTGTACGTAGAGAGAAGTAGCAATAAAGCAGTTACGGAGAATTAAAATAGCTCAAATGGAATGTTATAAACATGAAATCTAATAAAAACTTGACATACTCCCTAGTTAAATGATACACAATAATGTAGTAGAATACACTGTGAAGTAAAGAATAAGCGTAAAAACAAGAGACTAAATACAAGAGATGACAAACTGTACAAGAGACAAGTGTGCAAACTTGCAGTAGTTGTTTGCCTTTAGAGACAATATAATTAGGTAGGTAGGAATATGACATACAAAAAATAATATGAATATTAGATGTGCTAATACAGATATTGCAGGAGTAAGCAGAGTTTTAGTTTGGAAAGACTCTACGAATTAGGGTTGTGAGAGTTCGCCTTTTTCCTGTGTCAGTCTTTGCTGCAGTCGATTTGTTCAGTCAAGTTCATGCAACTTGGAAAATGTAGGGCTTGTCATTAATTGGCTAAAGTTGGATGTTACAGTATTTGCTTATGTAATTTGCTAGGGACATTTAATTCATTGAAGATTTCAACATAAAGAGTACTGGTCTGTTTTAGATAACTCTAACTCTGCTGGGTGCTGATGGACACAGTGAGCCACACCACCTGACAGACCCAAAGAAGTGTGTGTTTGAGAGGGGTGCAGTGGATATGTTCCTGCTAATGACACCCTTCTCACTGGGAGACCTGCAGGGTGTCAGGCTGTGGCACAACAACTCAGGGAGCCATCCTGCATGGTAGGCATATCGATTAATACGTGACAAACCAAACATTTCAATTTAGTGATCAATTTATTCAACCATCTATAGTTATTATCACTTAACATAGTAGAACAGTATTTGACTTATGAATTATTGCTTCTTCTCAGGTATGTAAGCCATGTCATGGTGCAGGACGTACAGACGGACCAGAAATGGCATTTTCTCTGTAACTCCTGGCTGGCCATAGACATGGGAGATTGTTCCCTTGATAAAGTTTTCCCTGTCTCCACTGAGACAGATTTGAAGAGTTTCAGGTAAGATTAACACACACACACACACACACACAGCACGTCTACAGACTGAATGTGAAACCCAGACCTGTGTTTTTCATTTCAATATGAATGAAGAGACCATATAATTAAAATGAATTGCTGTAGCTGGTTTGGATTTTATTTTGGATACTGGTAACTTTAACACATGTTAAAATTTTGAAAACCAGGGTGACAGGGATGTTTTCAATTGAGCAGTTACTATTAGACATGTGAGGCTAGCAAGCTCTGAAAAAGTCTCCCATTCACCCAACACTTGGGCATTTTGTTTTATCAGAGCATCAAAATAATCCAAGGGAGACCATTAAATTGTTATTTACAAGAAAACTGGTATCAATTTTAACAGAGAAATGCATGTCCTGAAATATATTAATTTATTTTAGGTATTTATTTGAAATAGTATTATTACCGAGGCCAAAAAATGGGAGGGAGAAGTGGGAGGAAAACATAGCTCACAGGGAGAACATGCAAACTCCAGAGACAGAAACCTGACCTCCTGCAGTGAGGAGACCATACTCCACTGATGAAAACAAAAATAAACGTTTAATGAGAAAGTGTTGTTGGTATAACGCAATATTTTCGAAAGAAAGAAAAAGAAAGATTCAGTCTACATTCAGTGACGATTATGTTGTTGTTTTGGTCAGAATTTGATGAGTTTCTTCTCTTGGTTCAGGATCTTAAACTGTACTAAAGCTGCTTCAAGGCACGTTTCAGATTGTGCGTCAGTTTAAAGGGGCTTAAAACTGAAAAAATTAGCAAAAGCAGCAAACTAACAGGCATCAGTATGTTGTGTTTAATTTTTATATTTAACTTCAGACTGATTTAAAATGTATTCGAGCTCAACTACAGTTAATGAAATGAAATGGAATAAAAACTGTCAATCACCTCTAATCTCAGCGAAGTCAGCCGACACTGAGGTGGTCATTAGCTGAGGATTTATGTCTCTTTTAAATAGCTATGACTCAACGCTCAGGTTTAACAGCAATGAAATGACCTGACAAGCGATTCAAATGTGAAGCTAATCCATCTTCAGTAAGAGGTTCATTTAGGGTAAACACATTGTTTTCCACAATACTTCCCTTTGTTCCTTTTATGTTCCAGTAATTTATTCTTCATGAAGACAACAAGGGGTTTAAGTGATGGACACCTCTGGTACTCTGTGATCAGCCGACCGCCGAGCAGCACCTTCACTTGTGTGCAGAGAGTGTCCTGCTGTTTCTCCCTGCTGCTCTGCACCATGCTGACAAGTATTATGTTTTATGGTGTCCCAACAGACCCGTCTGAGCAGACCATGGACCTGGGTACTATACAATGTCATTAGAGCTCAATTTATTCCAAGAAAAAAGATCCAATGTGCTAATAATGCTCGGTGGACTCTTGTTTTTACAATTTTGTAGGTCCACTTTATGATCTTGTAAAATTGCTTCCACAACTGTTATAAACTACAAAACCAACCACTATATTTTCACCACGTTAAATATGCACATCCAGTCTGACTTCTTTCTCTCCCTCTCTCTCATTGGCTGTCTCTGGTCTGCAGGTCACTTTGAGTTTACGTGGCAACAGTTCATGATTGGAGTTCAGAGTTCACTCATCATGTTTCCAGTGAACATCCTCATTGTTAGTCTCTTCAGAAACACTCGTCCTCGTGAGACGTCGTGCATCAGACGCCAACCAGAAAAACCAGATGCCTGTTCCTCACAGACGGCCTCCCCCGACACGAATGTCAACATCACTTTGGACACTATCACCAAGGTAGGTGCTAATCCAGCAGCACCTGGTGATAAAATTAACTTTATTATAGTCTATTTCTGAAAATTTTCAGAAAAAAAACTTTTGTATTTGTACATTTCTCCTCTGCCAGGACATTATAAAAATAATCTGCTTATTCTCCAAGACCATGAAAAGCAACATCCCAACCACAGGGCCAGAGTTTGGGCCTGGACAACAAGCTGACATCAATGCTCTCCTTTCTGTGGTGGAGGATCACGTCAGACAGAATTATAAAACTGGTGACAGTGCAGAGACAACGACAGAGATTGTTCCCTACCTCGCTCAGCCCCAGGAACAAGGTTTGTTCTCCTGTGGATAATGGATACAGTGTTTTGCAATGCCAGCATGGGCTGAGCAGGATGTTGCAGACAGCTGGAGCCCTGTCCCGTTTCCAAGTTAACATCTCGGCCAGGAATTTCAGATTTTCTGCCCACTGAGCTATAAATTGACTTGCTGGGTGGTTTCATTCAGCCAACTAAACTGTATATCAACAACAGGTGTACGTATCATATTGACAAATATTTTTATTTTGTTGAAATATGAGAACGAGATATAGAAACAAGGAGACAAAGTGGTATTTTGTCATTCAATAACACATCCATGACTCCTTGCCACAGTAGCACTGTCAAAGCCTCATGGAATATGTAAGCTGTCATTATTCTCTATCATAATTAATATGAGGAAGTGCACATACTTTAATTGGCTTGGACTTTTCAGAACACATGAAACTTCAAAACAAGACAAACTACCCCTTCGCCCCTCAAAATACATACACAAGGAATAACTCAAATGTTTGGAATTCTAGTCAACTGGTAGAACTAAGATGATCTGGAAAACAGGAAGTGAAATGAAGGTGGTATAAATATAAGGATATCTGATAGGATGATTTAAAACAGGTCAACAGAGAAACTGGTGGGAAACTGAAAAATACAGGAAGTAGACCTATTTAAATGCATCATGAAAAAAAAAAGAAAATGAAGTATGGTCCAAAGTGTCCACACAAGTTGTGGCAGCATTAGAAACATTGGTTTGCTGGGAGGAATACAGAAAATAAAAGATCCTGTGAACAAACGAGTGAGCAGAACAAACTTTACAGCTGGAGAAAAACAGAACAGAGTGCAAGTTCACAACAGCCAGCATTTCTGCTAACTAACATAATATTTTTTTATTTACAGATTCAGAAAGCGGTGCTAGTGTGCATCCTGAGATAGATGTGGGGGGCGTTCAGAAGAGCAACAGAACCCTGTATCTGTACAGACAGATGTGCCACATCGACAGAAAGCTGAGCCTGCTGGGAACGTCCGGCTTCCCAAGCCCACACAGTTACAGCCAGGCTCTGCAGCAGGTCCAGGACATGAAGGTCTCCCTTGAAGATCAGCTCCTCACATCCAGCAGCGTCAGCCCAGATAAACTCGGCCAAAACAAGTATTGAAGTCACTCATTAAAAAGTGTGGAATTTTGTGTCATTTTGTATTATAATTATGTTGTTCTATCATAGTTCATCAATCACATGCAGCGGCTAATGACGATCACTTTAGAATAGTTATTTTGATTGTGATTTCAAGAGTGCATTAGATTAGCTGCTGCTGTGTGTGTGTGTGTGTGTGTTTGCAGTTTATGATTAAAATGATCCCTGCACACAATTAAGTTTGACATCAATGTCTTCAAACAGTTAGTTGTTAATTTTGCAAATGGGCTCATACAAATAGAGTGTCCAGTGTCACACATTGTCGCAGCAAACAGCAAACATTTTCCCTAAATATTGAATAATTTGAATAATTGGGCTAAAACTCTAGTTTAATACTATTTAATCATCTATTGCTCTTTTGTGTTTCCAGTAATGAATATGTCTTTTACTCTCACAAACAGGTTGAGTCTTGCAGACAGCACTAATGATGATGGTCAGAAGAAAAAGGGCTGCTGTCATGGAGGGCTGCCCTGGTGGTTCATTTTTGTCACCTGGCTGCTTGTGGTCGCTACCAGTTTCGTAGCAGGATATTTCACGATGCTTTATGGTTTGAAATTTGGGAAGGAGCGTTCCATCAGCTGGTTGGTGTCAATGATTGTGTCCTTTTTTCAGAGCATCCTCATCACTCAGCCACTTAAGGTGAGAAAGAACGATCCTTCCCTTCCTCCTTATAATCTCACACATCAGAAATCAAAAATAGTTACTTCTTCATGGAAAGGTTGGGATGGAAAGCTGCAGATAAACGATCCTGGCACAGAACAACAGATCTGCAGGTAACTCTGACTCCGCAGCTCGCTGACAGCCGCAGGAGCCAGATCTGATACTAATCAAAAACAACTATCATTATTACTGCTATTAGTATTATTATAAATTACTGGCACTGCTATCATAACATCATCTCTATTATTTTCAATATAACAACCAGTCTGACCAGTCCGAGCTTAAACGCTTACACAACTTCTGCCGGTCTCTCTTCCCCTCTCTTCTCTTGAAATTAGAACCTATTTCCTAGTTTCTGATTTAGTGTAAGGTCTAAACCTTACTATGTAAATTGTAGGATGCCTCTCAGATGTAGTGACGGGTTGTGAGGTGGTGTTGCAGTGGAAGCAGTGCAACTGAATGCATTCAAGGAAATGAGTTATATGAGCTGATGTGGTCTGGCAGAGAGATCTGCTGCTGTCAGCTGCAGGATTGCGGCTGAGCTCGACGTAGTGACCTACCTGACACTGCTCAATTTAATAACACATGTTTTCTCCTATGTTCCTGCCTCTCACTACAGGTGCTGTGTCTTGCAGCCTTCTTTGCACTTGTCATAAAGAAAGTTGATGAGGAAGATTTTCAAAATGTGGCATTTGACTCAAAAGCAGGTAAAAAAATATAATTTCTTGGTCTCAGACTTTGACTTAAAGATGATCTGGTTTACAAAAACATCTCTTCACCCACAGGTGACAGTAAGGACCAACAGATAGTCAGACAGGACAGGAATCTGTATGAGCCGCCACCTCCTGGAGATGTTGAGAGGATGAAAAGGATCAAGATAATTGAGCAGAAAGCCTTTGCCCTCCTCAGAGAGATTTTCAGTAAGCAGAAACACTGATATGTTTCGTTTTAGTGGGCATAGATGTGCACAGCATAGGCTAAGTTGTCCCGGGCAACTGCTCATTTGTCCTCTTTGACTGAGCTGCCGAATAATTGCTAGTTTGTGATATCATTCAGTCATAAAAGATTGGGTTAGTCTTTTGAGATGGCGCTTCCCTGTTGCAGCAGCAGCTCTTGCAAATTTCCCCATTGTGGGACTTATAAAGGACTTCTTAATCTTAGTCTTTTGTGGTGGTGAAAATGACATATATGTACAATATAATCAGTGGGAGGCTCTGTCATTTAAAACCTCCACAAACAGTGCTCAGCTCTTCACATTTGCACAATACAATGTCACAGAAGAAGCTGTCACCACATGAACCAACCTTCATGATTACATGATTGATGTCTTGTGGTCAGCGTCCTCCATGTGGGGTCGCTCTCCTCTCCACTCTAAAGGAGTCTGAGGTAGACACAAAAATTGGAAGGTACAAAAACTTCTGCACAGAGCTTTGCGTCTCTTAGGACACCTCTGAACTAATGCTTCTCTGACAGTTAGACACTCATGCACTTTAGGGTCGGCCTCCCCCTGGTGCCTCACTCATCTTCCTGACATTCCAGTAAGTAAGCACGTAAACACTCCAAACAAACAGGAAGCTCAGTCAGGTTATCAAAAATGTAAAGTGCAAAAGGAAAACCACCATGCAAAGTGAAGCAAACATACTAAACAAGCAAGACTATATATGCAATTAATACTAAATCACCCCTGCCCCACAATTGGACATTAAATTTCCAGATCTATGATGATTGAATTTGTTGCGTTTTGTGATTCAGTCTACACAGGCTTCATGTGGATGTTGCTGCTGGTGGCGTACGGCCAGAGGGATCCCAATGCCTTTTTCCTAAACCAGCACATCAGGAAGAGCTTCAGTCCAGACATCTCAAACAGCATGAGTCTCAGGGACGTGTTCACTTGGGCCAACACGTCTCTGCTCAGTAACCTTTTTGGAGTTTATCCAGGTACAAAGTGTGTCGCTACTGCAAAGGTTAAAGAAACACGCTCTTTCTGTTTTTATCCTATTAGCTACAATGTAATATCAGAGCCGTATAGTAAGGTTTGAACTTTGATGCTTTAGAAATGCTGTCCTGGTAAATTCTATTTTGATTCACACAAAAAAGGAATTCTACTACTAATTTAAGCCTTTGTGCTGTCTGAATTAAGTATACTGTCACAATCATTCCCTACATTTCCTTTTTTTGCAGGATTAGTTATTGTTGAACTTGCAGTTTGTGAGGGTCAATAATCGCCTGGATTTCTCCAAACGCACAGTGTGTAACCAGATTCATACGCACATTAGTTTGTACAAATAACAACAATTTTAGTGTTGATCCTATCCCTGTGTCAACATAAGCATAATAATGTTTTTAAAAATCAGCTTTATACCAAACGTATTAAAAAATCTCCATTTATGTCTTAATCATGGTTCATGATGGCACCTAGTGTTTGCAGGGCCAATGCTTATGTAAAGTTTACTGGTTGAGACGTCTCTACATCAAGACATTTATAAGTTTACACTCATGAGGGGGAATCTTAAGATCGCTTATTTTCAAATCTATGCTGAAACTAAATCCCTAAACCACCACATCGTCTACCAGATATCCCTCAACCTCTCATGCCACTCAATGTGGGTGCTTCAGCCCTGGCTGGCACACACACACACACACACACACACACACCAGCGGCTTTTGCTAGAGACTCAAACGACTTAGGACAGTGGTTTCAGCTGTATAGACACTCTAGAAGGGAGAAGTCTCTTCTTGATAATCCATTTCTATAAAGTGTGGGTGTGCTGCTACTGGAGTCTTAGCATATAGCCAGACAACCTAGATGACTGAGCATGAGCAAGCTAATTGGTATGTGTATCTTAGCCACGCCTCCAAGTAATGCATTCTCAAGACATTTTTATCATTTTTAAGGTCAGTCACCTTTTTGAATAGACTGTACCCAAAAGCAAACAAACCTTACTTCAAAAGAGTTTTCTGTTTTATAAAACGAAACACTGAATCAGATGGAAGTCACTGACAAAGTGTGTGACATACAGCGACTATAAACCTAAAATTACTGTCATCTCAACAATGTCACTCAAACAAAGGAACTGTGGTATGCTCTGTTCCAGGATTCATCACAGATGGAAACTCTAAGCTGGTCGGTAATGCCCGTCTTCGTCAACTGAGAGTGCAGAAGAACTCCTGTCAGATCGCAGGCTCCATGATGAATCTTGTGCTGGACTGTCAGGCACCATATTCATGGGAGGTGGAGGACATGGGCTCCTATGACTCTGGTTGGAACCAGTCTGTGGGTGATAATAACACTCTCAGCCCCTCCAGCCCCTGGACGTACCAGACACAGGCTCAGCTCAGGGCCTACCCTGTGTGGGGCAGAATGGTGCTCTACAGGGGAGGTGGCTTTGTAGCGGTGCTTGGCCCTGATTTAAAAAATGCCAGCAGGTATGTACATTAGCTTTAGCATCATTGCAATATACTGACAGAAGAATCAATGATGCTCAGATTGAGCAAAGCAATAAATAGGTTGAAGTCGGGTAATGTGGGACCCCTAGGCTCCACTCTGTTTATTTCCGGTTCTAACAGAATCTAGTTGACACTTTTACTATAAGTAAGCATGGATATCATGTGACTGAAATCACATGAAAAGTCATCTGGGACATTTAAATTCTCTTTATGGGGAAATATGCATTAAGGGACCTAATTAAAAAAGAATATAAAGATATTATAAAGCATATTATGTGTTGTACATACAGTTGTCAGACAGGAGTTAATGTCCTTGTCTGTTTAAACTGATTTTCTGGTTAGTTAACTAACATATAATCACTTTGCTCTCTAAGATGCAGATGATCCAAAAAGCAGTCTGTTCTGTGTCTGCAGCCACTGGTTTCACCAAACATAGAGAAAACAATGGGTGACCGATGATGATGAGGAATGTTTGTTACCAGAGCAGCCCTAATAAATAGGTTTATTATTGAATGAATAACCTGTGACCATTCAAAATGATTTTGGCTTTTATAAAGCCTTTACATGTGTACCAGATTACAAAGTGACTTGTCCAAGATGATCAAATTCAGTCAGAATTTTCTTTTTTGGAAGCTGTGTCATGTCTCCTCTGAGTATGACATCAACATTCTTTTTTTCGTTGTGGATAGAAAACATCTTAAGAATTACAGAAAGGTATAGCATGTTGATCTAAGGTGTAAAACAGATATCGGGTCAAAATTGCAAAAGATTTCCGAGATTACCTGAATTCACCCTCCATTAACATTGAAAATATGCATATATTTATTTTGTTGACTAACAAAGTTGGATCATTTGATCACCAAAAGATTACCAAGCAATTAAAAACATCTTTGTGTTCTTGATTCACAGAACCATTGAGTATCTTTTCAGGAACAAATGGCTGGATATGTACACACAGGCTTTGTTTGTAGAGTTCACCATTTATAATGCTAATGTCAACCTCTTCTGCATCGTTACTCTCTTGCTGGAGACCACAGCTGTTGGTAAGTTGGAGAATGTATATATGACCCATATCTGTCTGGAAGTGTGGATGAAATACTCCTAAAACTCATACTTGTCTAATTTTCCAGTTTATCAAATAATAAAAAAGCTCAAATCAAGAATAAAACAAAATAATCTGTTACAACGCAGCATTATCCAGCAGCTGTTTCAAAAGGAGAGAAAGTCAGCCATGATGTAGAGGAATTCATATTTTCAAGAAAAAGAAAGTCAGTGAGGATTAACACAACAACATTCAAACAAGTTCAACATGTTCAAAACCAATATAGTCAATGCATATGACAAAGATGATGAAAGATGAAAGCTGGAACACTGCACAAAATGTTTAATGAATTATGAAAAAAATAAGTATTCACTCCTTCCTACTCGTTCTCAGACACCATTTAATTACTTTGAACATTTATTATTATAGTTCATTTGTTTGCTGTGCATATATTTGTATTTAAACAAATAGATATAAACCTATCTTAACTTTCCTCTGACAGCAACTGTTAATTAGTCCAATGACAGCAGAGGTAAAGTCATTTTTCTTAAGGATGTGTAACATTATCATCACACCAACCTCTGGATCTTGGATCATACTGACAGATGTTGTGTAATTTCATTCTGTGACAATGCACTTATTCACATATTTATAAACAGTATATGAATTAAATCTGACAAACAGCATTGATTCTAATAAATCTTTTCTAATTGGTTTTCAGGGGCATTTCAGTTCCACAGCAAGCTGCAGAGTGTCCGTCTCTACCAGTCAACTGGGAGTCTTCACATCTTCGTCATGGCTGCAGAGATCATATACTTGCTTTTCATCGTCTATTACATGTTCGTGCAGGTAAACTCTGACATGACTATGACAGAATGTGGTCGTGGTCCTTATGATCTCTTTGTTCTCCATGCATCTCAACTTCACTGGTTTCTCTATTTGCTGAGGGATTCTCAAGCTCAGACTGACTGCAGAATATGCAGACAGGCCTCATTAGTCTTTTCAAATGCACCCACCTGTCTGTCACCTGAGATAAAATTGCAGTTTTGTACTTTACTGTACTAACTTTAACATCAGTGTGATTGATGTTTAAAATCATGTGGTGACCTTATTCCATTTGACTTACAGCTGACTTGTAGCAGCTGTCAAACCCTATTCAGCTGTTACTGTTCTCTCACCCGAGTAAATTATATATTATTTGCCTCACTAATTGTTTTATAATAAGACATATCAAACAAATGCATTAATTGCCTTAATGATGAAGTCTATATGGTTGTGAGGCTGTAATGCCATTAATCTGTCTCTGCAATGTGATTTTATTTCATTCATTTTTTATTGTACAGCAGTGAGTCATCTCTCTCTATGACCATTATGATCAATGTTCATGTGTGTTCTTATCTGTAATTTATAAGATTGTAAGGAATCACTGCATGCCCTTTCTTGCAGCCCAGATGGTTATTGTTAAGAATTTTCAGAATGTACTCGACTAAAAATATCAGATTCAAGAACAGAAAGTTCAAAGAGTTCATTTCAAAAGTTGCAGAAGGCATTTGGACTGATGGTAGAAGGGTCTGAGGTTCAAGCCGGCCTCTGTTTTATTTTTCTTATGCTGGAAGGGCAAATTAATGAAGCAACAGCGGTGGGCTTACTTCAGCAGCAAGTGGAACCTCCTGGAGTTGTCCATCATCTTATTGAGCTTGAGCGCCTTGGCTGTTTTCATCTGGAGGACCCTGCTCAGAGACCGTGATATGACCTACTACCAAAACCACAAAGACCAGTGAGACTATCCTTTAATTTGTCAAATGCAAGTTAAATGTCAAATCAACACTTTCAGAAATGTAGATGCTGTGTGGTGGACTTTATGTTGTGGTTAGAAAATGTGTTTCTATTTTTGTGTTATTTAATGGTGCTTCTTTTCCGTCATTATCTATTTTGCTTCAATAATAAGCTTAAATATGTTCAAATGTACTACTTTATACTTTTACTCTACCATATCTGGAGGGAAATATATAATTATCAGCAACTGTAAATAGCTACGCTTTAGTTTAAGATATTAAATAAAAGTACATGTGGTAAACATTGAAATTCAATTAAGTATTGTTTAAAATTTGATAAGCTGGAACCCTGTGTCATGTTTCAAGTGTCAATGAGTTAAAAGCTCAACAACACCTTACTTAAGTAAAAAAACCAGAGTAAAGTAAGTAAAATAATTACTTAAAATATGTTAAGTACAAGTGTACACCCTCCCCCCATTACTCATGTCTTGACCACTCAGATTCACATTATGACCCAATAAAAAGGGGCCTGAAAAAACACATGGCTGATATTTTAAATAAAGTAGCTAAAACTAGCTCCACCTCAACCAGCTGCAACAATACAATGCTGCTTAATGTAAATCTTCACTGTGTGTGCAGATTTGCCAGTTTTTATGAGACGGCCTCCGCTGACTCCGTGCTTCAGTATCTCATCGCCTTCCTGGTCCTGCTCACCACTGTCAAACTGTGGCACCTGCTCAGACTCAACCCCAAGATGCACATGATCACAGCCACGCTGCAGCGAGCCTGGGGCGACATATCTGGCTTCCTTGTGATCATTGTGATCATGTTCATTGCATATTCTATCGCTGTGAGTATCTCGTCCATTTACCATGATCTAAGACCATTCTCTCCATTCCTCATTCATTACAGGGGCATAAACATCAAGGGCTCTGTTGTAATGATGTAAGCACATAGTGAAGGTGCACTTAGGGCCTTTCCAAATTCCCTTATAGTTCTTTAATAAATAACTCTGAATTAATAATCAATTAACCTCCCATTCTCTCTAAAAGCATGTTGCAGTTGCACCTTGGCAGATTCTGGGTAGTAAGAGAGAATGTGTGTACTATCTTGATTGTACATCCTTAAAATAGTAAATCGATTTCAGACCAGATTTTTGTTGATCGATCACATTAACCTGCTAAAAATATCAATTCACCAATAATGTGCCTGACACACTTGGGTGAGCACAGGGTCCAAGGCAATTTTAACAATGCGAGTGCTGAATGGGGAAAAATAACATTTGCATCAGTCTGAAAGCAGCAATGACAAAACATGATTAAAATCATTGCTCAGGTCCGAGTCATTATCAGAACTAGGGAAATTAAGTTCAGATATTTTTAAGGTTTACCATATTACAAAAATGTTTTTTCATGAATCAGTTCTCATCTCACAGTTAAGGTGTTTTTACTGAAGGCCAACAGATGGTTGGGTGATTGCATCTAATGACAAGACTACAGGATTTACCAGGGTCATAGTATAGTGATGATGGTGCAGAGGGAAGTTGTCATGAATATATTCATGAATTAAATCTTCTAATTTCATCTTTTGCAGTACTCTATGATCAAATGAAAATATGCAAATGAAGTGTTTCAAATACTAATGAGCGGATCTTAGACCATCGTTTCTAAATTATCTGTTTAATGAAACTGAAAGCTTAATGGACAGGAATGATTACCCTGATGGTGTGAACATCATTTTTTTCTAGTGCAATGTGATTTATGGCTGGAAGATCTCCTCTTATAAAACTCTGGCGGACGCTCTCCTCACCATCATCAGCTTGCAGATGGGCATTTTTAACTATGGAGAGGTGAGTGAGATCTTCCAAAACTCTCCAGATAAATGTTTTGCTTCATAAAAATCAAAGAATATGTTGTTAGCTTCAGTTCAAAATGTGTGATTCGCTCTTTGCCAGGTTTTGGATTACACCCCTGTGCTTGGTGGACTGCTCATTGGTTCCTGTATCGTGTTCATGACATTTGTGGTGCTCAATCTACTCATTTCAGTCATCCTCGTGGCATTTCAACAAGAGCAGATCAACCACAAGGTGACTGTTATCAGCAGTTTTTATTTCATTTGACGCTGTTTTCCCTTTCCTTTAATCAGATACAATCTTGTATGTGATCCACGCTCAGCAGCTAGACTAGCCAGGTAAAGAGAGATCAGAGACCGACATTTTCTGGAAGCGCTTGACCAATCAAAACGGAGTTTGCCAGCTGTCCAATCAGAGCAGGCTGGGCTTTATTAAGAGGGGGGTCTTAAAGAGACAGCAGCCAAAACTAACAGAGGCTGAAACGAAGAGGGGCAGCAATGAACATTTGTGAGGAGAGGACTCAGAAAAAAATGATTCACACTGTAATTTATCTTCTATATTGCTCATATTACAGAACAGCACGGACAGTGTACAAAGGTGTA